TTTAATATCCTTGTCCGATTTTTATCATTAGTATCATTGTACAATTTTTTCAAGTAATAATAATATGAAGTATGCATTATTCACATCCAAAGTCCAATTTGCCTTTTTTCGTTAAGTTATAATTTGAAAATTAATAAAACAAAAAAAAATTATAATAATTAATAATTAATAATACAAAAATAAATATAATAAATTATAGACATTAAGCTATAAAGTAATAGTATAAACTAAATATATAAATATAAATATTAAATATAAAAAATAATAAAACATAAATATTAAACTTAATTTGTTTTAGAAAAGTAATAATATAAGATTATAAGTTATAAACTATTAATAAATAATAAAAAGAAAAAGAAAAAGAAAAAGAAAAGGCAGCAGGCCAGCCTGGCCCGGCACGGTGCCCACCTTTAAGATTATTAAAAGTTTGTCCCTTTTTGAAAAATTTCATTTATATTAAAATTAAAAAGATCGGACCTATCAAAAGAGCCTCTATTTTTGGACAATTAATTTTAATGCTAATTACTTAGGACAATAATAGGATATCATATTGCTTCAAAAAAAAAAATTAGGATATTATATATGTAAATAACAAATAGGTTAATTTTATTAAAGTGACTATATAACATTTTATAGGGAGAAACGGTTAGGATTAATCGATTGAAAGTTGTGTTTGATTTTGAAAAAAAAAATACTCCGTATTGCTTATTAGTTTTTATTTCCGTTAATTGTAGTCAAATTTAAAAATGAACTCTTTACGTATTTCCAATTTTATTGTATTGCCTAATTTTAGTTGTTAATCGATAATGATTGATTGAGTTTCCAGTTTAATTAATTTGATCATCAAATTCAATATTCAATTTTTTTATTGATTGATTTTCCTATTTAATTGCTTTATAACTTATTTAATTGATTTTTTTTTTTATGATTATCTTCTTAGAAATTTTAGTTTCTCATGTGTTGCATTTAATGTATAGACAGGAGTGCCATTTAGATATATAATACACATGGTTTATTGTAAGAAATTTCAAATTAAAATTCCCTTACACGATAGATTGAAATATTATGGTACTAGATGGAAGCCCGTGCGATGGTTTTTTATATATAAATCTTATGAAAAGATTATTTTCTTAATTTAACCCTATAATTTTTATTTTTTTTTATATTGCTGGTTAGAAAATGGATAATTTGTTTTATTTTTTTGCAACTTATAATGCGAACTTAATCATAATCCTGTTCGTATTTTTTTAACATATGATTCGTTTGTATAACGAAAACACGTTGTTTCACTATACATATATAGTTATAGAATCACTATTTTTCTTTCACAAACAATAACTTAGACCACCATTATTTTTTTTACTCCGTATCAATTTTATACAATGAAAAATTAATAAAGTAAACCCAAAACTACAGGGTTAAATAAAGACGGTGGGAGTAATAGAGAAAATTATGACTTTATAAATTTTTAATTAGTTAAATGAAATATATATATATATACTACCAAGAGTGTTGCATTACTAAAATTAATCTAATTGAATAAAATTAAATCTTTATAATGAAATTTCATTATCATATGTCCTTAATAATAGAGTTATATGTATACACTACTACAATGATTTTTACAATAATAATATAGATATTCTACAAAAAACTATAATACACAAAAAAATCAAAATTATCAGAGACACCTCTTACAATCTTTAATTTTTTTTCCCTACTATTGTAACATTATAATTGACTTAGGGCATGTTCTGATTTATTGAACTAAACTGATTAAAGCTGAACTGTACTGAATATTTTATGAGAGAAGGAAATTAGGAACTGAAAATAAGTTAAAGAGAACAGGCCCTTACTTTTCCAATTCACACATTTCTCTTTTGAATTTATAAGTGCTTGAAGAAATTTCTTTCATTTGGCGCGTGGACATAATCCCTTCAAATACAGAATAATTAATATCAAGTTACAATTAAGTTGTTTAACAAAATTTAATACGATAAGTAACATAATTAGATTAGGTAAAATAAAACAAAACATACATCTTATAAAATAATGAATAACAATCAATTTATTTTGTTTACCATCAGAAAGCCTTGATGGGGTTTTGTATTGATACGAAATTTTATTTGTGTCGTATGATGTGTTAGCTCTGCATGTAAAAAAACATTTAGTAAATAAAACATAAACATATAATCGTTAAGTATCCCAAATTAATACAATGTAAGTAATAATTAGAAATACTAATTTAAACATAGGATTTTAAAAGTTAAGCTAAAAATTACTCGGCCATTGATGACCAAAAATTAACACAAAATTACTAACATAAAATTCGCTTGATAGGGTTTTTTATTGATACGAAATTTTGTTTGTGTCGTATGATGTGTCAATTTATAATGGTAGGTATCACAAATTTTAATTTAATTATAATTAACGAACAATTTGTATTTCTTATCATAAATACTATCAAAATTTATCTTATAATGATAGGTATCAAAATTTATTATAAGAGTTTATCATTTAAATTTTTTTTAGTATATTATTTTGGATTTCTTATACTTGTAGTATTGAATTAATAAATTTATTTTTTCCTATATTTTACTTTTTTTCATTAAAATAATTTAATTCGTGGATTATAATCTACGTGGCATTAAAATTTTAGATATATCAAATCTAATTCGTTATTTTTATCTAGGTTGCGACATAATTTTTTAATTCAAAAATAAAATACAAATTGGTCGAAATAAGTATATTTCTTACGTAGCCGCTCCGAATGCTCTCCAAAAATTATATATATATTAGATTATGAAAATATTATGTTGCTTGACTAGTATTAATCAAAGATTGTTTCCTTTTTTTTCTTTTATTAATGGATTTGTTACTAAATATATAGGGACTAATAAACATAGTTACCTTATATTATTGCTTGATTGATATTAATTGAATATTATTTCCCCTTTTTTACTTGTTAGAATGGTGTGTTTCTTAACTCAAATTAGTTGCCTTTTTTTTAAGCAGTGTTACTTGGTAGCTTAATTACGTGACATTATGAGAGGAAAGTATTTGAGGTTTGCTCTCCTCTACTAAAAGTGGTGTTAGTGAGAGGAGAGCAAATTTCATTATGTCATTTTTTGGTTAAACGGAGGGAGTAATTGTTAAATTAACATTGTTTTTCATTATATAATTTAATAAAAATTATGCATCGCACAAGACTTGGTTGTACCTCATAGTGAGTTAGGTGCATAAGTTATCAAATAATTGTCTCCCTTAATTATGAACCATTATTGTTCATAATTCTTTAGTGATTCCATACAATTAGCTTAATTTTTGCATAATTGCAAAAGTTATGAATTGTAGTTGAATTGAAGCACTTGTAAAATGGAAAGAAAATTTACTTCAGGTACCATTATTCTCTCAAACAATTAAATACTACAAATATAAAACAAAAACAAATACTCCTTTTATAAATAGTTCTCCATTTATAGTAAAAACAAATACTCCACTTACATTCTTGCATTCCCTACCGGCCTACTCATGCTTTTGCTTGTTTTGTGTTTTTTGTATAGTTGATATCCCTAATTCTCGCCATTTTATGTCTCTGTTTCTAGAAATCATGAATTTCATTTGAAATCTCAGCTTGAACCTTTTTATAACACAATGCTATGCCACCAGAATCAATCCAATATCTTAAATGCCAAATATACTCCTCTCCAACTTATCATGTAAACTTGAGCCAACTCTAGCATAACAACAAAATATTTGAAAACTAGCATAGGTTTATATAATTAAAAAAGAGTTGGAATATATTTTTGAAAACTTATCAAGTATAATTTTTTTTAAAAAAAAATAATAATTATATCTAACAAATAGAAGTGATGTTTTAAAGTGATTTCTTTAATATCAATAATATGAATTAGTTTTATTACGGAGTATTACTTTTTTGACAAAATTTTATATTACTCAGTTTATATAATTAAAAAAGAGTTGGAATAATATTTTTGGTAAATGTGTATAGAAGAATTACGAATACCAAATAAAAAGGAATATTTTTGTCATAAAAATAATATAAAAGATTTGGAATGATATTATTGTAATTGTATCAAATATTCAAAAAAAAAAAAGGATTAAAAAGGAAAAGGAAGTTTTGGAGGGAAAAAACAACACCATGATGTGACATGTGTCACTCCCGATATTTGTTGTAGTATTAAGGTATTAATGGGGAAATCATTAGTCAACTCTATCCGATACTATCCTATCCTATCCTATCCTAGGTGAAAAAGAGAAGTAAGAGTCCAATTGCCTTTGAGGACACTGGTCTTAGTTCTATCAATCTCATAATACTACCTCCGGTCGCTATTATCTGCAACATTGGAGGAGTTTGCGGTCCACGAGGTAAAAGTTGGTAAAAAAGTTGAGGGGTAGTTTAAGCAATAAATTAAGAGGAGAGAGAAAAAAAAGTAAAGACAACCACTTTAATTAATAAAAAGGGACAAAATCTGATTTTTTGGTGGGGGACCCATTTCCCACCAAAGAAAGTGTAGGTAGGATAGCTGGACAATGGGTGGTGGAGGGAAAATCAGAGATTTTCCCTCCACATAAAATTACAGCACTTTTTGGAGGAAAAGTCAGAATTTTTCCCTCCACATAAAATTACAGCATTTTTTGGAGGGAAAGTCAGAATTTTTCCCTCCACATAAAATTATAGCTCTTTATAAGGGTAAAAAAATACAGCTTTGACAGTAACATTTCATTGCTTACAACTTTACATTACAAAGTAGTACTCCTCTTCTTCAAGCTTCCAAAAAAACAGCTTCAAGATGTTCAAAAGCTTCCAAACAACGTACAACAGCCATAAATGAAGGTTAAGGGGGACTCTTGTTCTTGTGTCAGCGTATGAACATCATCCACAAGTTTCTTTTTCTCGTTTTTTTTTAAATTTCAGTACATATCCAAAAACACAAAAAAAAAATCAGAATTTGTTTCTGCATTGGTTGTACCTGAAAATGGACAACTTTTGGAGCGTTGAAACAATATTAAACGAGGAATGCATGAATGCATATGAAGAAACGGTACTGGACAACAATGAGTTCGAGGGACTCACAATATGTTCCGATGAAGATGATTTTTATAACACCGATGTACTACTCGTCGAGGAGTACAATTGGGCAGAAAATGCTGGGTATATGTCAGAATACACCAACGTTAACCACGGGGACAATCACACAACATGCAGCCATAATGAAAGCACCCACACCAACCATATCGAAGGCAATACATTTGCAACCGAAGGCAACATAAGGCAACAGAACACTGGAAACACAGAAGGCAGCAGTGGAACACAAGCAAGTGGAAGGCAGCAGCTCACTATACCCAAGAAACGTGAGATTATCGCTGGAATGTTACTTGTTTTACGCAACGGTAAACTACCAAGAGGGCATTTAACACATCTTGCAAGGCAATTTTGTGTACACAAGTCAACAATAACCCGCGTTTTTCAAGACATTAAGCAACAAATGGAAGGGGGGAATGTCATTGATGTGAGGAACAAAAAAATCGGCAAATGTGGGCCAAAAGCAAGAGAGTATACGGAAGAATTTTTACAGTCGGTACCACTTCATTTAAGGACAACAGAGAGGGGGTACGCAGGTGCATTGAAGATATCAAAATCAACACTCCATGAATTAAAGAAGAAGGGGGTATTGAGGACGCAGACTAGCACAAATAAGCCAAGACTCACTTCAAATCACAAAATAGCAAGATTGAAGTGGGTTCTTTCACACATACAACCAGCAACACATACATCACCTCCCACATTTCATGTAATGAATCATGTCATTCACATCGACGAGAAGTGGTTTTATCTAAACCCGGATACAAGAAGATTATATCTTCTTCCGAATGAAGAAGATCCATACAGATGTGAACAATCAAAAAGGTTCAAGTGTAAGGCAATGTTTATGGGCATAATAGACAAACCATTGTTTAATGAACAAGGCCAACTGATTCATGGTGGAAAGTATGGTATCATTCCTTTTGTTTATCAACAACTTGCAAAGAAAGGAAGCAAAAATAGGCCAGCGGGTACTATTGAAACAAAAGCAACACAAAACGTAAACCGGGATGAAATAAGGAAGATGCTCATCAATGAAGTTCTGCCAGCAATAAGAAGCAAATGGCCAAGCATATTGTCAAAACAAGTTATAATTCAATGGGACAATGCAAGGCCACATCAAGTGCCGGCAGATGAAGAGTTTTTGGCTGCATTGGAAGAGGGGGGGTTCAACATACAGTTCGTTTTTCAACCACCACAATCACCGGACCTAAATGTTCTAGACTTAGGTCTATTCAGGGTAATTCAATCAATTCAACATCAAGCATTTCCGAAAACATTAGACGAATTGGTTGAAAGAGTTAAAGTTGCATATCATGAGTTTGACCCTATGGTGAGCAAACATACATGGTTAACATTAAAATCATGTATGATTGAAATTCTGAAGTGTGACGGGGGCAACAACTACAAAATACCACACATGGGAAAGCTAAGGCTAGAACGACTCGGGTTGCTACCGGAATTACTAGAAGTCGACCAAGGTTTGGTGGACCAAGCATGTACTTTCTTGAACAACTCATTCATCCAAACAAACACAGAAGAACAAGAAACAGCTGCAATGGAAGGGGTGGATGCAGATTGAGAGGATTGAAGACATAACATATACTGCCACACATAACCAACCTTTTGTTTCTTGAAACTGTGTAAAGAATCATAATGTTTAAACTTTCATTGGTTAGGTGTACATGGTTCAGTTAATAGCAAACTTTTGGCTAGGGCATTTGTATTGTTACATCTTTTGTAATGGGACTCGTATGTAACTGATTTTTAAATTTGAATGAAGTCCAGTTAAAGATTTGAAGAAGTAAACTGAACTTTTAAATCCATCAGTTGGGTATTTACATTCTCACAAACCATCAACAAACACAGTACCTCACAATCTAATAACATAGACTGGAGCAAAACATGTTTGGATTAGTTTACTAAAATAAGTCCCTTCATCATTTGGATTAGCCCTTTATTGAAAATAGATAGGAGTATTGAAAAGGCGGAGTACTTTTGTAAAGATGAATGAAAGGGACATTTAACTCATCATACTAACCAAATAATAATCATGACAGGGACATTTAACCACATCAAAGGGACTTCCTCGGGTCATTAAATCTTCATACAAACCAACTCATCATGACAGGGACATGGGACATGAATCAAAGGGACATCAACAACTCATTAAATGTTCATACCAACCAACTCATCATGACAGGAAGTCAAACAACGAAGTAGCAACATGCAGGAACTCCACCAAGGCAGGCATGCAGGAACTTCAAAAAACCAAGTAGCAACATGCAGGAACTCCAACAAGGCAAGGCAGGCAGTAGCAATAACAACAAAATTGATAAAGCACACTATAGCCTAAACAGCATAACATACATGATGTTTCACAAACAACAACAACAAACAAATCACCAGTATCCAACCCTGCCTGGCCTGCATCATAATAACAATTCCACCACCTAAACATGATACTACTTATAAAATAAACTGAAATTAAACGAGTAAGGGTTTCAGAGAAATATACCGACGCCAAAATCAGGGGACTCATTCATCAGGATCATAGATGTTTTACCGGCTGAAAACATGAAGTGTCAGGAGTAGTAGGGTTAATCCAGCAACCTTGGTGTAACCCTAACCCCAACACCACCTTTGGATTTGGTACACCGTCACATACGGTGTCACTGTCGCCAGAATCACAAGAAACTGGTTCAACCTCAATTGATCTAACCACAGAACCAAGTACCTCCCACAATTTTGGACTCAAAATATCACGGCCTTTGCCGGAATAATAAAGCTCACAAGGCCAGAAATTTTTTGACTCAAACGCATCAAGAAAAGCGTTTATCATCCCCCTTTCAACTTCATTTTCAGCAGCAAAAATTGCAATGTGGAGAGGGGTTAAATTCATGACTGAAAATAGGGCTACAAATCGCAAAATATTTGAAAACCCAGAAAACCCTAGAAATATTAGGGACTCTTTAAAAAAACCCAGGGACTCACAAAATTGAGTGGAACTCTATAAAGGAGGAAATAAACCCATAAAACCCTAGAAATTAGGGCACAAAATCGTAACGATTTCGGAATCTAGAAACCCCAAGAAAACCCAAAGATCTCTGATTGATTAATGGAGGAAAAAACCACCGTTTAATCGCAAGATCAAACCCAAAAAACCCTAGAAATTAGGGCACAAAATCGTAACGATTTCTGAACCCAGAAACCCCAAGAAAACCCTGAGATCTCTGATAGATTAATGGAGAAAAAAACCATCGTTTAATCGCAAGATCAAACACAGAAAACCATAGAAAACGCAGGGACTCATTTATGGAGGTGTATATTGAAGAAACGAAAACCCAGAAAACCGTAGCAATTAGGACAACAACTGAATGGAACTCAAAGATTGAAGAAACGGTAACCCAGAAGTGGAAGAGGAAGAGGAGGAAGAGGAAGAGGAAGAGAAAACCCTAGACAGTTGAAGATGAGAAAACCCAGAAAAATGAACAACACCGTAGTCTAGAGTGTTCTTGGGTTAGAGATGAAATGATTTGATGAGATGATGTTGGGTGGGTAGGTAGGATAGGTTAGGAAATCAGAAATTTGTTTTTTTGTTTTAAAATATTAGTGTTAATTAGGTTAGATAATTAAATAAGATTAGAGATATAATCTGATTTTATAAAAAAATAAGTAAGGGTAAAATGGTCATTTTACACAAAAAAACTTACTAAAAAGGGAAAGAAAATGAAAAGTTGCAGATAATGTTGGGCGGTCAAAAATGGCAAAAGTTGCAGATAATAGCGACCGGAGGTAGTATATATTTCATAAATATGAGGATGTTCACATCGGGAACAAGTTGTCTTAACTTTTTGCAAACCAAGAGCCTCTATCTATTTACAACAAACTATGAAACCATCTAGAATTTTAGTTTGAATAGTGAAAAACCTTAAACATGATGAAGAATTTAGTAATAAATAAAAAAGTGGAGGGAAATCGAAGGTATTAAGACGGGAAAAATTAATAGTGGTTTTTTCTTTAGTAATAGTTTTAGATATTATAATATATATTATAAAAATATGAAGCCTACATAACCTCGGCCCACCCAAATCAAGTTCAGCCTTACCCTCCAAAGGATCCAAAACTAGTTAGTCATGCTATCCTTACCTTTCAACCATTTCCTTCGATTCCGCTCAATCATGCTATAATCCTTAACTTTCAACCAACTCCTTCGATTCAGCTTCTGCATTAGTATGTAATCTTGGTTCCCTTACCTCAATGCTTACAGCTCCATTTGTTTTTCAGTGATGGCAAGAATCAGCGAAAGACTTTTTTTTCTTTTTCTTCTTCTTGTGTTCTTTCTAAATGGTAGTGCATCGCTCTCCCTCGTGTAGGAATGCTGAACACTCTGCCGCAAAAGGGGACCACTTTATTCTCCCCCCAAATGTCAATTACAACATCAAGGCCCAGCAAGCAACATAATTCTGTTCCGAGGCTACTTCCACCAACAATAGTATATAGTTCGAAACTCCAACTCTATTCATTTCTTTCTGTTTGTTTCATTTGTCTTTTATAATGGTTTTTCTTTTATAATAACATTATAAAAGAAATACCACACATTCATTCTCTTCGTAGAAAGTTATTAGATTTGCCTCGACATTTAGTTTCAAATATCCATATTTTAGAATTTTTTTATGATGTGTAGTTACATTGAAAGTTGTGTAAAAAGGCAAATGAAACAAATAAAAAGAAATGAATAGAGTTGGCGTTTTGAACCATGTACTACAGTTGTTGGAAGTAGCCTCAGAATAGAATTATGCTGCAAGCTGGGCCTTGATGTTGGAATTGACATTTTGGGGGGAACAAATTGGTCCCTTTTTGCGGCAGAGTGTGCAACATTCCTACATGAGGGAGAGCAATTCGCTGCCATTCAGAAAGAACACAAGAAGAAAAAAAAGAAAAAATAGTCTTTCGCGGATTCTTGTCATCATTGAAAAAATAAATGGAGCTGTAGACATTAAGGTAATGGAGTTGGTTGAAAGGTAAGGATAGCATAATTGAGCGAAATCGGAGGAATTGGTTGAAAGGTAAGGATAACATGACTTGACTGGTTTCAGATCCTTTGGAGGTTAGGGCTGAACTTTATTTGGTTGGGCTAAGGTTATGTGGGCTTCATATTTTGTTTCAAAAAAAATAAAATAAAATGTGGGCTTCATATTTTTATAATATATTATATACTTCCTTTTAGTTGACACCTTTCTTTAGTCACGTTTGTCAATGCACAAATTCAAACATTAATATCTTTAATTATCGATAAGTAAAAATTATGAAAAGTTGATATTTTGAAATTATAAATCGTGATGAATCTAACAATATCCCACATGACTATATTTTTCATTATGTATAAAGCATGAAACACGGTCAAAGGCAAATGTGTGAATAGTGCTAAAGTCAAAACGTATCAACTAAAAAAAGGAGGTAATATTATAATATCTATATAACTATTACTAAACAAAAAACCACTATTAATTTTTCCTTCCTAAATCCCACTAATTTCCCTTCTCTTTTTATTTATTTATTTTTACTCCATAAAATTTAGAAACCTTCTTTTTTTTTTTTGTGACAATATAGGAAATTTTTTAGTTGGCCATCCTTAATTATTTATGATCTTATAATTGTCGCTTTTTTCATTTAATTAGAAAAAAAATTTACTTTATCCGTTTTAAACTCATTTGTAAGAAATCGTTAAGTTGTTAACATTTTTTACAAGACACTCTTAACAAACTTTGAAAATTATTTTGAATACATGGTAGTTAATTATATTAAATATCAATAACATAATACTAAAACAGACACCAGGAATGACACGTGTCACGTCCTGGTGCTGTTTTTTTCCTCCAAAATCGTTTTTTTCCCCCTCAACTACTTATTTTAAACTATTCTTTATACATATTCATTAAATCATGCAATTGTGATTCACTTTCCTAAAATAATATTTATTTGTGATTCACATATTTTCCATATCTTTTATTGTATAAATTATTGTTTATATTTATATTATTCCATGTGTAATCAATATATTATATAAATTACATTGATTTTAAATATATTTTATTGACTTTGATTGATTCCACATAATTTATTATATTTTCAATATGATAAATATTTTTTCATAGTTTATATATTTATGAATGTGTTATTATTGTTTATTTAATTTCAAAAATATTTGTACAAGTATATCTTTTTCACAACTTATTACTAATTGAATTATCTTTATTTTTTTTCCTACGGGATTAATAGTTTGATTTATAAACCGTGCGACACTATGCTAGTTAGATAAGTAAAATAAGGCCAGTTTTAATTTTCCTTGAAATTTTTTAAGGTTTAATTATTAAGTGTATTACTTGCTTAGTAACGTGCGATGCACGATTTTAATAATAAATGTTTTTGCTTATTTGTGTGTATTACACAGTATAATTAATTTAAGTAAAACATGATAAAATGTGGGCGTTCTGATTAGATAAATTGAGCTATAACGAAAGATATAAAGTTAAATATTATAATTATATATTATTTTGTATACTTTATAAGTTTAATAAA